TTGTGGTGCATGAGTGGGCTGGAGGTGCAGGGGTCTGGTCATGAGGGGGTGGGGGGGACACTTACTTGCCTTTGTACCAGTGCCGGTCCCAGTCACTGCATCCTGCTGCTCCCCTTGGCCAGCTTCCTGCTGTGGGGGGAGGAGAGAAAGCCACAAGCCCTGCTGTGTGATCTCACTCCTGGGGAAGAAGCACCGCCCCTCACCCTCTCCTGGCTGCGGGAACAGCAGCACGGCTCAGGGCTTTCTCTCCCCCACCCCGCCAGTGGGAAATCAGTGCTGGAGCTCCAACCCTGCAAGGGAGGCGGGAGGGTGAGACCCCAGCACCCTGGGCCTAGGCAGGAAGCAGGAAAAGCTGTCCAGCAGGAAAAAGGAGCCAAAGGAGAGGGCCGGGGTCAGAACCCTTTGCGGTGCCCCCCTGGCTGCCGCACCCTAGGCCTAGGCCCCGATTTTGATGCAGGGGCTGTTGCTGGGAAGAAGGATCCTGCCACCACGGCCTCCCTGCACCACAGCCAGGGCTGGCCAGGAAGCTGGGGACAGTCTGTGACTTGCCCTTCCATTGCAGAGATGCGGTTTGTGGTTCCTGCCTGCCTGCAGAGCAAGGCAAGGTGTTTCCTTTCACCTGCCCCATGTTTGCCTTCATTTTCTTGTATTAGTTGCCGTTGAATATATGGTACGTGTTCTGATCCAGGAAGCATCCAGGGCAGAGACGGTAGCTGGAGTAGGGACACATTAGAACCACGAGTCTCCAACCTTTTCGAGCATGAGATCGCTTTTTGAATTGAAGTGCAATTCAAGTTCTACCTCAAAAAAGGTTGCCGGGTGGTTTAGCCAAAAATACCAACCCCCCCCCCCGCGTTCAAACAAAACAAAACAAAAAACAAACCACTGGGGAAAAAAATCCTGTTGAGAAAAAATAAAAAGGAGGAGACAAAAGAAAAGTCGTTGAGCAAAAAAAAAAAAAGATAAAAAACAGCATGGCCCCTTTAAGAAAGGCCTTTTTGGCTTTTTGACAGCGGCCATCTTCTTTTTCTGCTCAGAGCCAGAAGAAAGCTCCCCTGCGGAACCAGGTAAGTGGGGGGTAGGAAGGTCTGGGGGAGGGGGAGCCCCAGGAGCTAGACCCAGTTGCTGAATGTATGTAGGGTTGCCAGATGTCCAGTATTTTTGCCTCCTGGCAGAGAAAAAAAATCAGAAAATACCAGACATTTTAGGTTTCTGGTATTTTCTGAATGTTTTTACCAGACAGGAGGTGAAAATACTGGACTGTCCGGGTCAATACCAGACACCTGGCAACCCTAACCTCAACTGGTATTTTCTGAATGTTTTTACCAGACAGGAGGTGAAAATACTGGACTGTCCGGGTCAATACCAGACACCTGGCAACCCTAAATACTCTTTGAGCCTTCTATCATCTCCAACCCAGTGACTTTTGGTTCTGTGGCAATCTACAGA